TAGAAATAACTTGTTTCTTACCAAATACTGCTAATCTATATTTATTTACTCCTTAATTTATCTTTTATTTTATTAAAAAAAGATAAATTAAGAATTAAAGTAATCTGGACAATACACACCAACCTTTTACTAATCAAAAATATCTTTCGTCAGTTTCATTCATTACAGAATCACAATACAAAAAATATACATAATCTTATTCACCAGTGCTAGCACTGAAATGGAAGAGATACAATAGATCAAAAAAATCATTACAAATCAAGGCATGAATTTGAGAGGTCATTAAATTTTATTATAAGCAACTGAAGAGCAATGGCACTCACCATCATCAACCAATTTTTACAGATGCTACTACGCATAATTCATGATTCCTAATCAATTCGCCAATTCTAGCTCTATAATATCTCTTCAAACCACTGCTTTTTAAATAAATTTTTCATTGCGTAAGGTCGAGAGGAAGGTAAAACCTTGTGTCACCTGAAAAATTAACTGTCAAAAGATAAAATAAGGCATAACAGCTAACAGAAAATTAAATCACTTCACAAAATTTATGCTGGATTGATCGACATGAATAAAAATTTACACTGACTTAATATATACCTTACTTCTGTACAAATAAGAACGAAATTCTAGCAAAACTGCAACAGTAAATTATAGATGTAAACGCAGACTGCAACGAATGCTTAGTAAATGAAAGTATTAGAATGAAATGGCAACAAAATACCATCCTTAACATCCGTAAGAAATTTAATCTAGGTCAACAATTTCCAATTCATCAATCTTCCTAAATTATACAATTCCTTTGTATTACTTCCAACAACTAATACAACTTCTCTATAATATTCAAAAAAAACAACCATAAAAATATATAGCTGCTCTGCTCTGTAACGACAAAATAAATTTGGCACATTCCTAAAGAACGGAAGATTTGAAATCAAGTAGTTTTTTCTGAAGAAAGTTGAGAAAAAACACTTCGACTCAATATTTATTTTCATCCTCCTAAGCAAAAAACCAATTCAAACACATTAAGTCAAAATGCTGATTCAAAACAGACTAGATTTAAAGTGAAAGCACCAATGAAAGATATAAGAACGCTTTTAAAAGAAAATTTTAAAACAAACTACTTCTTACATAATGTGAAAACTGAAGATGTCTGCATAACAAAAGCGTACGGAAATTGCTACATGGCGAAAAATTGTTCCTCAACAGCAGCAGCCATATCATCTACATCATCATCTGTCTCTGATTTCACAGACAATGAAGATGTCTCAGATCCATTATCTCCTAAATCTTCTACAGCCAATTTTTTTGATGACGAGGCACTATTTTCCGTTTCCGTATTTTCGGACCTTCGCTTCTTACCTTCTATAGAGAACAAGATGTCGGATGATTTTATTTCAGTACCTTCTTTATTATTATCTAACTCTTCTTCTGAAAGAGCCTCATCAACCTGAAATGGGCATAATAAAAATAGTTCCAAGGTAAGCTTATCTTATCACTAAAAAGTGTTAAAAAAGAAGGAGAGTTATAGTCCCAAAGTTTTTGAGAAGCATACTTCACCAGTCATTTGTGACAAAGTTTTCTTTCCAAATGTTGGCAATCTTGATAATTCATTGGTGATAATTACATTACGCTGTAATTTCTCTGCGCTTGGCGTTTCAAAACTTAAGAGTTCAAAATCTTTTTCATCTACCTAAAAATGTGAGCAATAATATGCTTCAAATGAAAATAATTTAAAAAGAAAATCAACTTATGAATGAAATCACACGACAAATTAAAAAGAACTATTTTTACAGGATGAGCAGAAAAGCTCCTTGATTTTTTCTAATTTTATTAAATTGTTCACAAATCGTCATATATATTTTTATTAGATACTGCTAAGATCTTTAAACTTAAATACAGAGCAAAATATGTATTACCTTCTCCCATCTTTCAACACAAGTAAACAACCACTTGATATTCACTATGAAAATATTCTTTCGCTTCTGAGCCTCATACACTTTTCTAGAAAGTGGAAATATATACACTTCAAAAATGGTTCATGTATTAATAATTAAGCAAAACTCTAAAGAGGAGCAATTTGAAAAAATAAAAATAAACACATAAAAACTTTAAGCAAATTTGTATGCAGCTGGAAGTTATTCCCCAAGCAAAAAAATAAACTTGACAAAGAAGATGAATAAACAGCAACAAATCGAAATTAGTTATTAAGCAGCTTATGATTCAGTTCTTTAATTAAATTTAAATGGTCTTTTTGCCTATTACGACTCGAAAACTAAATGAGCCCTTAGCCTTAAATGCTTAAGTTGCTCCTAAATCAATCTCTGTAACAGGATCAAATATCTAAAATATTTACAGAATATAAATAGATATCTCGTTCAACTAACATCTTTTTTTAGACTTTTAAAAGATCTTTTTTAATGTCGAAGTCAGAGTTTTAAAAAGCAAAACAGTCAAAAAGAAACAAAAAAAACAAGACAGAACAATTTACTAACGCTGTGCCTAATCGTGCTGCAATCAAATGAGTAGTGGATTCACACAAGTTATTCGTAACTGAAGCACCAAACTGTACACATAATCGATAGACTTCTGTCTTTTTCACATCAACGCCAACAGGTACGATACCACTAATTACTATTGAACAGTTTTTCAGTACTTGCTTCCGAAGATATGATATTATTCCTTTCAAATCCTCAAATACCAATAATGCAGCATGCAAATATGGTTAAACATGAATAATAAACATTTACAAAGTTAAATACAAATCATTTTCACAATATTATGCTATAGAGAAGCAAACGACTTCTACTTAACTTAATTCATATTTTTTCATAAAGCCTTGTTTAAACGACCAGTGCAGGACTATATATCAGTTGTTACATTAAATCATAATCGTTTGAACATCCTTAAAAAAGCTATTTCATTTCCTTGATGAAAAATCTGCATGAATTGGTCAAAAATTTAAATAAAGATCAAAGTACGAGATTTTAAAAACACTTTGAAATGGCAATAAAATAGAGCTATGCTCAATAAACATACCGGAAATCGGTCTATTTTTGCATCATCAAACAGTTCATAAAAAGCACTGTGTAATTTAGTCAAAACAGCTGCAACGTACTCCAAAGTTTCATCAACTTCCGAATCCGAATCTTGTTCTGCATGAATAGTTGGAGCAGATACTTCATTTTCCGGATATCGCGAATTATTGATATCACCAACTTCTTTGAAAAACCGATATGGTTTCACCTAAATTTAAAAATTTGCTGAAATCAACCGTCCTCTCTACGATAAATGTTGCCAAGCTGTATTAAGCATAATAGAAATAAATCAAATACTGAATAACCTGAACTAGAGCATCAGAATACTGCCACACATCAGGCCTGTCATCGATCATAACAATCATGTGATCACCACACGGAAACAATGCTTGCATATTCTTCGTTTTGTACATTGCACAAAATAATTCATCGCGTGACAATATTCCTTGAATATTTTTGAAAATGAAAATTTTCTACTATCTTCAGATTAGCAAATTATTATTGTGAAAGCAGTATTGCTCCAAATTCTTCCTCATTCAGATTATTCCAGTAAACATGCAATTTCTTTGGTGAAGAGGAAGACTAGAATGTAATAATTAAAATATATTCCATGATTGATAATGTTTACTTCAAAGTTACTAATGAAAAATAAAAGCATCAAAAAACTAACTATGACCAAAATACTTTTTATCAGGATCTAAAATTTCAGCAATACGATGTGCATATTGTCTTTCACCATAACTGATTATATGCATTTCATATAATTCTGCCATATTCTCCAGAAAATCACGAGTATATGGACGCACTTTGGTATAGAAATCAATTCCTTTCAATTTGTAATGCAAGATATCCTGCAAAACTTAGAAAATATAAGCATTTAAGCTACTTTACAAATACTTTTCATAATTATATGCAAAATAAAATATTTTCCTTACAGAAAAATAATTCCAAAACCAGATTACTACAGTAAAGTAACTAAAAATTTCCTTCTGCGGGTAAAAGAGAGTACAAAATACTATTTTCCTTTTAACTATAACCAGAAATAAATACCATTTCATTTTTTGGCTTACAAGCGTGATTAGTAGTATGTATCAACGTCTGATCCAAGTCAACCAACAGAACTAATTTGCGTGCTTTTAGAAGCAACTCACGGTCACGACTCCCAATTTTCCAAGCCAGCTTAATGATACTTCTTGAAAATGATATTTCTAAACTAGTAAAAAAAGACTGCTATTAATAATACAAAGATTAAATATGGAAGAAAACAAACTTCGTCGGAAACTATAAGCTCAGGAACATGATGTATCATCGATACATTTGCGGTACTGACTTCCGACACATCTCCAGAAAATCCAGGTCTTCTATAAAATCACTCAATCATCAGTGCTTAAATTTTTTTATGGTTCAAGTCAACTAATACTTTTCATTCCGAAGTAAATTATGGAATCTACAGACTAATAAATTGGACTCACCCTCTTAAATCCTTGCCACAAGATGCACACATATCTTTGATAACAATAGCATGTTTACAAGGTCGGATACTAGCAACAACCATACCTTTTTTCAAAATCTAGAAAAAATTACGAGCGCATGAAACTATCATACAATTTCTCATTTCATTTTTTATGCCAAAAACTTTCTAGTTACCGCACAAAATTTAGCATAACGAACTACATATTCTTTTCAAAACAGGTTTCCATTAAAAGTACTTACCTTCCCTTCAGTAATAGTAGTATCAATAGTAACAACACCAGATAAAGAAGTTTTCAGCGGTTTCTTTTCACCACTTTTGACTGAGTATACGAAAAGTACGGAATCAACAGTTACGAAAGCACCATCTGTGATTTTCCAATTGATAAGTTCACCTTCGTCATCTTCGAATAATAGATCTGCTCTGCTGCCCATAACTGGAAAAAAATTTGTCAACATAAATTACGTGATTCATGCTTTGAATTTCAAAAAATGTTCCTTTAAAACACGAAAAAAAAATCATAAAATAAAATGTATTTTATGTAAAGCTGAAAGTTAATGAGGAATATTCGACAGAAAGAGGCATTTTCAATAATGAATTTGATCAAGTGGATCTTGCAAATAAACTAGTAAATATACATTATAAAAATCAAAATACACTTAGCACTTACCCTTACTGCACAATATACCATACAGATCAAAGCTATGTTTTACAAAAGGATGCCAGTAACCTTTTCGTGTTTCACGCAATCTCTTGAGTAACAAGAATATATTTTCATTTCCATTGTATTCATGCATATATTAATTAGATGAGGTTTACATTAAAGTAAATATAAAGTGAAACTTGATTATCTCAGAATGGGTAGTAATGTCTTTAGTAGACGAATTGTTTCTTCCAGTCATAAATTTCCTTAAAGAGATTACATATACGAAACGTAATAAACAAATTATTCTTTACAACGTATTATTTATACTTCGTTCAGTCATGAGCAGAAATTAATGACCCCCCAAGAAAATAAGGGACCAGTATCACTACATGTAACAATTTCAACAAGACAATTAACTACCGAAAATGCATTAAAAATCATATTCGCAATTTCAACCTGAACCTAGCAAGGAAACTCTTCGGGAGACGATAACAAACGCTACAATCTTTCTTTCAAGTCACTACTGGTCTCAATTGAGTCTTGTTTCTCTCGTGCTTCACACGTTTTTTAAAGGAGATTTTTTAAACTGCAATTAGTATGCCTGAGGAAAGAATTCGATCAATAACAAATGCATAAGCCTAATAAGAGTATACTTTATGGTTTTTAAGTACTTCAAGCTAATACATTTCATGAATTACTCTCACTTTAAATAATTAATTGTTTAAAATTTTTAGTAAAAAGTTGGAAAACTTGAAAACTTGAACCAACAAAATTTAAATTACCTTTTTCAAATCTGGAGCAGTATTAGTAGTTATTCTTTTAAGATGAAAATTTGATTTTATGCGAACTTTTCTATTGTATTATGGAAATCATCTGAATTATACTTTGTAGCAAAAATGGAATTATATATTTGGCCGTCTGATTTCGGGTTACCTTCGGTGGATTCGCGATGTCTTCAATTTATGGTAACAAAATGTGTGCTCTGATATGATTGAACTTATCTAATTTAGATTAAGATTTTGCTTTCTTCACTTTTTATCAACTGTTTTTACATGACTTTTTATAATACGGTCACTTTACCAGGCATGTGCGAAAATTTGTGCAGCTCCCATATCTGTCATTCCTTCCTGGTCACCATGGAATAGTGCAAACGGTAAGTAATATTTTACACCGTTTGTTTTTCATTCGTTGTAAAAAAGAATCTGATAAAAGTTTTATTTTTAATTTGATTCAGGTGAGTACCCAATATTTATTGATCGGAACAATGCAGACGAAAAAATTTTCAACTTTGATGATTTTGCGGAAATGCTGCGAAAAAGTGCACAAGTACAGAAAACTAAGTCCAATAAAATTTTTCGTATCACATTTTAAAACAGTTTCTGCAAAAAATTGTGTGAATTTTATTCACTAACTTGTGTTTTGTGTCCTCAAATTGATAAAAGTTACTCATCAAATGGCCAAATAAAAGTACATGTTTCAATTAATATAAATCTTAATAAATATAGTGGTAATACTAATTTGCAACTAAGAATAAGACAAAAAAGTAAATACATTTTCTGTTATAGGATAGATGTTTGATGCAAAGCAAAATATTTCTTTATTAATAGTGCATAGTATAATGCAGTTTTTATTAAAGAGGATTTTGATCTCTGTTATTTGAGGAAGTTGTACTGGACAGTGAGTTGACAGTAGCAGAAAGATGCGAATTTGAAGCATATTCAAGTCTGATGCTGCGAAATTTTTATCCTGCTGAGGTTGTCTTTGAGTTTTTTGTAAAATTGATAGCATGTACCAGTTTGAATTGCTAATTATTTCAAATACACAGTGACTTATTTAGAAGCATTAGTTCTATTTTTCAATAAAATTTTTTAGATCTACAGATTTTTATATTTCATCAAGATTTACTCATTTCAGTTACAATTTCTGTGGCTTGATACTTACAATTATGCAGCTATAACCCAACATTGGTATTCGAAACAGTTACCGTTTGGTTATAACTTGTATTACTTAGAAAAGCGCCGTCGGCGAGCTGAAGCATATGTTACGGCTTGTGGTCGTAATGAAAAAGAAATTGTACAAGATGCCATCAATGCAATTAATTTGTTGTCAGCGAAGCTTAGTGACAACAAGTATTTTTATGGTGATAAGTGAGTGTTTCTTTTCTTTTCATTAAAATTTTCAATTATTACTGTATAATGTTTAGTTTGTTTTATATGCGAAAGTAGTTTCGATCCAATTCAAATATTCTCAAGATTATATTATAGTGATAATATTGTATTGCTAATGTCATTGAGATTCTAGCGATAAATTTTGTGTCACCTTAAATTCCGCAATTATTTTTAGACCAAGTTCTATTGATGCCTTAATTTTTGGATATTTGGCACCAATTCTAAAGCTACCACTTCCATCAGATCGATTACAACAGCACATAATGAGTTGTCCAAATCTTATACGATTTGTTGAATCTATAATAAGCATATATTTACCACTCAGCGAAACTCAAATAAGACAGCAAGCTCTTTCGAAGGTTACAATTTTTAGTTATTTCAAAAAAAATATGTTGGCTCAGTAGTATCAATAGTTTTTTTGTATTTATTCATATATTTATCTTATAATATAGGCTGGCATTTTGGATAATGCAAAGCTATCTAATTTTGCGAAAAAAACAGATTTCTAAAAAAAAGTGATAGTGCCGTTTTAGAAAAAGTTTTTAGGACAAATGGAATGCCCGACGTCGCCGTGCACAAAAAAAAGCGGAACAAGCAAATTTACGGCGAAGTACGAGTGAAGAAAAGGATTCAGCGGTAAGTTTTACATATATATATATGTAAAACAGAGATGAGATATCCTTAATTATTTTATATAATTTGTCGATAGGAGGTAAATAGCACTCTCTGTCCTACTTTCTTAAGAAAGTTGATATAGTAATATAGTTAGATGAATTAAGTCTAACTTACGGCGTTATTTTATTTGCATCTCTTAGGCACTAAAGTTTATTGTAAAATAGAGGCCTTACTAATGTCATTCTAAACAGTGCGCAGATAAAAGCAAATCATTTTATTTAGGGTATTATGGCCGATAGTATATTCTTCGTAGTAAGTGCATTAACATTGTCGGTGATATTTGCCGTACATTGTGGCCTACTGACTTTTTCTGTCGAGGAAGAGGAACCACAGTTCGAAAAGACTTGAATATGACTTTCATTACCTGTTTGAAATTGAAAATATGAAAAATTTAGTTCGCGATAAAATTTGAGCCTTACAAAAAATTTATCATCCATGGGAAGTTTGATGGAATCATTCAGGAATCTCTTGACAATATGAATAATTGTTGGGAAATGGTTTTTGCCATGAAATTTGTTTTAATAACATTTGTCTGAAAAGTTTATGACCTGCAAAGTGTAGTTGAAAATGTAGTCCGCAAATTCATGTTGGTATTGAATGCTTATGTATAAGTAAAGAAGTTGCGAAATTTATCGTTTTTTACAGTAACATAAGCAGTTATTTCGTGAGAGTGTGAATTATGATAAACCAGTAACTATGAAGTCAAAGTTGCTGCAAAATAAAAGTTATGGTTGCGACGGAGATGGTTTTTTGTATTATGCATATTAATGAGCACTCAAGTAAAAAATTATCATAGAAAGAGCGCCAAAATTAGAGATTGTTTATTAGATATTTATGGATTTTCAGACCTTAATTTACTATTTTGAATAACGGTATTGAGAAGTAAAACGACAGAATACAAGTGAAGGAAATAAAACAGTGGCCGAGTCTGTGTAAGATAAAAAATGAGAAAGCAAATGCATTTGCAATCAGACATGAAGGAATGCATGGAATCAAGAACTGTACACCACGAAAGATAGGCATAGATAAGTTAATTGGTAATTAAGTCATATCTTCTAGGATAGAATCAAAAAACAAGGCATAAGATGAAGACAGAGCTAGTGAATGACTTATAATGTTAGCAATAATTTATAGTTGACTGACTGTCTTTTGTAGGACATTTGAATAGTTAATAGTTTGACATATCATAATAAATGTATATGTTTGATATGATTTAGTGATTAAATCATTACATCACATATACGTTGTATTTTTAATGCACGTAAACTGGCTAGCATGAGTGACATTGCGTACTTGTGCTCTGAGTGTAAACAGGTACGACTGACGAACACATTTGAATGGATAGTATTTGTAATTTGTGTGATTGCTTGGAGGGATTTCACTTTGTATCCTTTTCCTCTCTTTTTCCATTCCGTTCCATTCCATTCTATCCTATTCCTCTCCTTTCCCCTCCTCTTTTCTCTTCTACATACTATCCAATTCTATTCTATTCTATTCCGTTCTGTTCCATTCTATTTCATTTCATTTCATTTCATTTCATTACTATTTCTTTCTTTCTTCAGTGTGTTGAAATTCATTGCAATGGCCGAAGTGACCAATAATGGTTGTCGTAGTCGCCTTTGGAACATATTAGCGACAAGTTACTGCAATTTACTGCTTAAGTATCCTGGTAGTATACTTCTTGCAACCTTCTTCATTTTCACTCTGTTTCCTCTGATTATACTTTACGTGAATCCACTTAAACTCACGCAAAATCCTGAATCGGTAAGTACATCTTGTTATTACATGCTATCACTTTACTTCGTTATATTATAATTACTTATTTGCGAATATCATCAAATACTATTCGCACTATTTGTTATTTAAACGCGTTGGATACTTTTTAAAATTAAAAATTAACTTGTGCTTGAGATCGGCTACTTCTATCTAAGAAGAATTTATTTCATTTTATTAATAATTTTAATATGCAACACATATTTTGTTGCTATAACTAATTCAGTTTGTGTGATCTTTTGACACATTTGTTTTCTCATATTCACTCAGTCCTTATCACGTATTACATATTTGAAAGTTTGTCATTCATTTAGTAAATGAATGAATGAATGCATTTGATTGAGAAACTTACAGAAATGTATTTGGTGTAGATTAACCTGCCAGTATTCTTGACTTGGAAGATATTCAAAAGTATTTACTTAAGACTACTTTTTCGCAAATTCTAGGAAGGTCGTAAATTCTCGTTTAAATCCCAACAGTGGGTCATATTCTTAATCTTCTTGCCTTCTCTCAAGGTGGTATTTGAACTGCTAAAAATTGTATTGCATTGATCATATAAAATTTATTGCTATTCGTAAAATAGCTAATACACGTGAACATTAAGAAATGAAATTGAAACTATCCTTGTATTTGTCAGCTCAAATTTCTTTTTGTAAAACTCTCTTTTGAATTTATGTGAACTTTATATTATTATTAAGTTTCAATATAAGACTGGATGCTTCTGCTCGTTGCTGGGAAATGATTGTTCTAGTAGATCTTTCGATTTCGTTCTCTTGTCATTATCGTTGTATTGCTATTTGATTTCGAAAGCAAAAATTTGCATGAAGATATTAAGTGATAAATTTGTTAACAGTGTTCATGTATTCACATTTTGAAAATATAAACGTTGTTTGGAAAGATCTCAACTCGGATCTTACCTTCAAATGACTTGAAAAGGGATTCTTTATGAGTGTTATTTAAACTATGTTGTTAAAATAATGAAGCAGATAGGAAATGGAATAAAGTTTGAATCTTTTGTGGTTATGGGTGAGAAAGTGCTAGCAGTTCAATTTGCTTGAAACAATGACAGCTAGAATAATATGATCAAGAATTACTTTGGCTTATTATCAAGAATCATATTATCCATATTGATCCATTTAATTTAATTTTTAATATAATCCTTGAGTAGATTTATGCAAGTGATGATCACTTAATAAGTTACTGAAAAAGCTATAGCAAATGTTAGAGTTAAAAGTTGACCAGTCCAGAAAAAGATAGTTAAATTGAAATTGTTGAATTGTTTTAAATCATTTGAGAAGAATGCATTATAATTATTTTAGGGCTTTGATACGCGTGGGACAGAATATTCGGGTCCAAGATTAACGTGGGAAAGTGTCTATTGGGATTTACAGGCAGGTAATCGAATTAAACTGCCGAACAGAACAGCATCGGCTCCAGCTCGTGCAAAACGTTCTTGGGCTGATGATTTTCTGAATACATTCATCCAAGTACCATGTTATGAAGCCGCTCTACCAGGAAGTAAACTTTGCTTATCTACCAATAGTCATGTTTGATTGATCATGTTTTGATTAATATTGATTTATTTTACAAATAGGCGATAAAATAGATCAAAATATCCATGTTACTATAGGTTTGTAGCATGAAGTTAAACTCTGAATTAGCTCTTAAGTCCATCTATATTTTTGAATTCCCAGTTTAATTAAAGTTTTTCAAAGTGATCTTTATGAGCATCACGGTAGAAATTGTGATAAAATTTTATAAAATTTTGTTTTCATGAAGTAAATGATTAATAAAGTAGTGAAAAAGACAAGCATACAGATACTTTTTACTACAGTGATGAATTTAGTTGGAAGTGAAAATATTTCATGCATGAATTTTTTGGAAAATAATTTCAAACAGGTTTTTCAATATCATTCCTAAACTAACAGAACCAGCAGTGTGGTTGTCATACAATAATCTGCCACATGATGATGATGCACCATCGTGCACCAATTCTGCGGACTACCTGAACAGAACAAGAAAAACTTTCGAAGAAATCTTCGTTTTAACTTTTAGTGCCAAAAAAACTATAATCAGTTAAAAAAATAATTTTTTCTCTTCTTGAAACAATAGTACATTTGATAAACTGATAATTGAAAATCAGTCTGTTAGCATTTTTATATCTGATTGCATTTCTAGTGGATTATTTGACGCAGTTCGTGCTGGAAGCTAAATCTTACGAAGAATTATTCAACTTAGATTATCAACAGATGTTATGCTCATTACATACTCATCTCAAGGATCACTTTGACAAATTTGCTAATATCACACCTTATAGGTAGTTTTTCTAGCATTTGTTATATATAATCATTATCATAAAAAAATACAAACAAAAATAATAACAAGCAATAAAATTTAAAAGAATGAATTACTGCCTAAATTAAAAATATTAAGTAGCGTATATTTTTTTAAAGTTTTTTAAACTAACGCAAAGTAATGAAATCGAAAAGAAATTCTTCTTTGTCAATTCTATTTTGTGTAATGAGAAGGAAGTTTGATAAAATATTTCTTAGAAATATTCTCGTACTTTCAATTCATCAAAAAGCAGATAGATACAGGCACGACAATTGCCGAGAAATAAAAGCAGCCTCACTTTGATACTTTGCATTCAAAAAATCAAAAGTAGGGAAAAAACGTGTCATCAGCCGTCACTAAAATTTGCTATTTTACAAATCATTCACTTTCTAAATTATCAATTCAGTGATATATTTGTTATTCTCGACAGAAATTCAGATCTGGTTAAGCGCGCAAATTTGACTGACACAACTTTGATTCTGCTTGCGAAAATATTCAAAAACTTTTGTAGAGAGTGTTATTATTTACAAAATAGCAAAAAAAAAAAAAAAAAAAAAACTCAACTATTTATGATTTTTGGTGTAAAATAATTGCTGAATTCGAGAAAGTAATGAAATAAATTGCATAAATATATCATTAAATTAATATAATGGTAATACTGCAAAAAGGATCCATTTTATTTTCTCATATTCCAAGAACATTTATTCTTTCAAGTTTTTATTTAAAAAAATAATGATATCGTCATTATCCTACCAAAAAGTCAGTATTATAATTGCATAAAAATTAAAAGCTCCTGTGAAAGAATTATTGCTATTTTTATTTTTTTCCTAGAAAAGAGTAATTACTCTATTATTATTACTATCATTATCAACAATTGTAAAGCAATTATCAACAATTACTCTCATTATTAACTTTTTTCAATATTCGTAATCAAAATGTTTGATATTTTTGGTCTAATTTTAGGAATATTTGGAGTTTACCAAATTATTTGTCTTGCATATCAGCCAATCTTATTACTAATTGCTCATTTCTAACTGAAGATGACGTAAAATCCTCTCGTAGTATCGTTGATTTTTGTCGGCCATATCGATCACAAATAATAAAATGTCGTCAGAATTGTTCAGCTGACTGTCCTCTGTGTCCAGATTTACCCAGCAATTGTTCCAACCAGATGATCTTTGACTTATTTTATCGGATTCTTCCTAAGAATTTGTACGCTAAACCTATTCACATCAACGCTTTCTTGCCTGTTTTCACATCAGCAGGATATCAATCACAGGGTATTAATAATGTGGTCGTCAAGGATTTTGTGGATATACAAGATGCCTTGAAAAATTTTTCTGTACAACACAAAAGTTTCAAACTAAAAGGTGAAAAGTTGAACTGCTATTTATTTTTTTCAAAATTAATTGCTACATTTCAAGTAATAAGATGCGAAACACAAAATTTTTTGTCACGTTATTTATATTATTTCTTTTCCATAAAATTTCTTCTGCAATGACTAATGAATTTGAGTATTATCTCTGTTGTAGTAATTTTTGTGATAATAAAGGAAGTGGTTACATTGATATATTATTTATTTCCTTTGTTTTTCTGTTTATTTTAACACAACAATTTTTATCAATTAAATGTTTAATAAATTATCTGAAGTCAAATAATGTACTTCTAAAATGTATGTAGAGTTCAAATTAGATATAGTCGTCATTGAGATTGAGATGAAGGCATACAATTTCAGTTGAATGAAAGCATATTTAAATCATGTTCACTTCAAAACGTATATCGCTTCAGGATTATCGATGGGTATAAAACGTGATATATTATATGATGGCGCAAGACGTGATTCTTTACTTGCTTGTCTAGCTGCCTTTTGTGTTTTTTTCATGGTTTTTTTATATTCTTTGAATATATTCTACTGCTTGACTGTTGCTTTTGTACTTATTGCGTCTGTTCTTACTGCCTTAGCCATTTATTCACTATTTACGCAGGAATTTCCTCTGCTAAATCTGGTCATTTTTGTACTTCTATTGGCTATTGGTTCAGATGACGCATTTGTTCTATTGAATTCGTTTCCTACAGAAATCACTTCAAAAAGTATTTATCAGTGCTTATCACACACGGCTAGTGCTATGCTTCTAACTTCGGCATCTACAGCTGTACCATTTTTCACTAATATCCTCAGCAGTGTGATTGTTTTTAGGTTAGTACTCCTATTTTTGCTTCATTTTCTTAAACAAGTTGTACAACACAAGTAATTATTTGATAAATGACAAAAATCAAAGCAAAAGTGTGGAAAAGATAAAAACTTAAAATTAATTTCACGAAGCGAAATTTAATTTTATAAAACGAAAAACTGTTATCTCTGTCAAATTTTCGCAAAGATAATATAATTTTGAACAGATTTGCTGTGCAGGAAGGACAAAAAGAAGTATGCTAATTCCAAATATTTATTTTTCTGAAATCCAAAAACTAATTTCTTTTGCATTAATGTTAAAACTGTGAAATTTTCCTTTTTTTAGGAAAGCATTCATTTTTTTGATGATTCTTATAATAGTATTCAATTTTTTCAGCAAATAATTCTGATAGGTTTTTTAAGTAAATGTAAAAGATATGAATTTTGCAGATATTTTGGCTTGTTCGCAGGTCTTACGTTGGTAATTAATTATTTGCTAGAAATATCCCTTCTTCCAGCGATGCTTATATTCCAGAATCGTTACATTCATCGTTGTCTAATTGCACGTAAATTCTCTAAACTTAATTATGTGATGCGTGATTTGCTACCATTTGTTGTCATCTCTGGTCGCTATATTTGGATTTCATCGTTTGCAATTATTGTCTCTGCAATGACATATTTGACTTACGCAAATTTGCAATTCCCTCATTATAATCCACTACAACTCTTCGTAAATTCGAACGAACATGAATGGTATGATAATAATGCAGAGAAAACATTTGAATTTGTAGCTGAAAAATTAGCCGTTCCAATTACGGTTCGATTGCTTTGGGGTTTAGCACCACGAACATCACAGAGTATATTTCGTCCTGATAATTTATCCCCAATCGAAATTGATCTAAGATTTTCGCTACAAAATACTACTGAAGTTCAAAAGTTAGCGCTCAGATTACATGACTATCGACACGTCAACTTCATTAATCATAAATATGAATATTGGCCAGAAAGGTAGCTTAATTCTATGCTATTATATAACAAACAACTTAATTCTATAACAAACAATAACAATAAAAAAGACAAAATTATTTATTGAACTATCTAAAATAATATTTTAGATATCTTGAATGGAGTCGTAGTTTTATCTGTGAACCGTCTAAAACGTGTTGCAACTTTGCGGATTCAGATTTTCAAGAAAGTTCTATGGATCATTGCATACGGTTATCTACAGCATCTCTTTTCACTAATTACAATGATACGCTAATTTATGACAATTCAACATATAAACTGCTTGGTTATACAGCAATGTTGCCAACAAATCTGAAATACTCCCATCGATTCCAAAATTTATCACATTCGTTTAATTTGCTACGTCATACATTCAGTGAAATGGCAGTGCAAGGTTAATTTTGAACAAACTATTTCTGCAGTTCAAAGGAGTCTGTCTTATCCATGAACTGTATCATTGCTACTGATTTTGAATTTTTGAAGATTATATATTTTCTGGTATTCAGCCATGTTACATACATGCTTTTAACTACATCATGTAGCTAGTTTTTGAAAGTTTTAGCTGTGAACAATTTATGTTTTCGTTGGAAATGTTTTCGAAAGAAATGCAAGAAATTACTTACTATTAGAAGCTTGTTCTCTTAACTAAAAAGAAAATATTGTCTGTAATCCTTTCTCATGTAAATTGATCTAATTCTTTCAGGTGGTTGGTATACCACAGAATGGAGTTTGATGAATATATGGTTTGATTTGTTAAATTCGATTATTACTGATTGTCGTCAATCGTTATTATTGTCATTTTCTGCTGTTACGATTCTCGCATTTCTGCATTTGAGGTGGAAAGCACCAATAGCTCTATTAACTATCGGTTGTATTGTTATAGTAGCAGTTGGATGTGTAGTAACGCTAGGCTGGACAATTGGACTGTTAGAAGCAGTTATACTTATACTTGTCGTTGGGCTATCTTTTGATTTTACGTTACATTATGGTGCTTCTGTCCCGGATTCTGGTTGTAGCAAGCATCGAGTTTTGCTAGCAGCTCGAAAGTCAGCAATTCCAGTAACCTTGTCAGCTTTATCATCAGTTGTTGCTGGTAGTTCAATGTTAATCGCTGAAACACACGCTTTTTATCAAGTATGCATTAATTATTTTACTATTTTTTTCATCAGTTTAAAATTTTTTTTAGGAATAAATTATTAGTTAATTTGAAAAGTACAGAAATAATTGAAAATGATTGAAATTTAACATTATTCTGTGCATTTGGAGCAGTTTTCAGGTAGGCATGTTTCTAGTAGTTTCCGCTAGTACCAGTTGGTTGTTCGCCACTTTTTTATTTCTACCACTTTTGTCACTAACTTTGCAGTCAACAAAGATATGCAAACTTTGTCGCCAAAAAACTGTAAATGTTATTGACTCAGCAGCAAAAGTGAAATCAACTTTTATGTAATTGATATTTTGCATAATATCTAATTTTGGAAGAACAAAATGCAATGAATCTCATCCACGCACAACTCTGTGTTCATCCACAATTGTAATGAATTTAATTGCTCAGACTGGTATTACACTTCTAATTTTTAATACTTTTATTTGCATTTTTGTACTTTTGAAATTACTTGACGATCAATGTCTTCTCTTCTGCACTCAACTGTAATCTTTTAAAAAAGGCCATCTGTTTCCAAAAGCATTATTTTCTGTATTAAATTCAAAAGTTATGCAAAATCAGATTAATGAGCTGAATTGTTTGAACACAAGCACAATAAATGCGAATCAAAAGTTAACGATTCTACGCATTTTTATTGTCAGTCTTCAAAATTTGCATATTTTCTTGTACAAAATGCATTTACGATTGATTATAATGAATTTAATGAGAAATCACATCAAGAAAAGGAAAATTAACGGTCACAAAAATTTCAAAAAAGAAGTATTTGTCTCTTTTCCGATCACATTCTTAGTGTAAGCATGAATCAGAATCTCGGGTTTCGATTAGATTTCGAAAGTATTATGTTTTATTTTTTTGTTGCAAATTTGTAAAAACTGTAAAAAAAATTCATAAATGACATACCTTGAAGGTTTTGTATTTGAAATCTTGCATACTTTTTAACGATCTGATTAATTACAGGTAGAATATCATCACTTGTTATGTTTTCATTCATTAATTGCCATATTGAGTGTTGTGCCGATAATTTCGTGTTTTGAAGATATATCTGGATGTTTTGCTAATTGATTTCTAGTTTCGTCGATTTTTAAAATACGGGTTTATTCTATATGAATTTAAATGAGAACATTGTAATATATAGTATAAAATAAATCTGTGAAGAGAACCAAACTTTAACACAAAAAATAAACTTCATTAAAAGTCAAAACGTGAAAAAAAGATGCAAATTTTTGAATTTAACTTGAATTCATCGCTTTTGACATTTAAAAATAAAAATTTTTCAGTGCATAAGATTCTCCATTTTTTAAACTTTCAATTATGCCAGCATGAAATTTATTCTAAAACAAACGTACTTGAGCAATATCTAACAATTAAGCTGACAAATTCAGAGGAAGGCGGAAAATTCCAGATTCAGAAGTAGAAAGTATTTGAGGGAGTAATATTGAGAGGTATCTAGCTTGGATTGTTTCTTCTCTAAATCAAGCAATGACTTGACTGTTGTATTTAAATGCCAGAACTTATCTCAAGTACAAAATCAAGAATAATACATAAGACAAGAAAAGTTGTTCACTTTTATTTCCATAATACAAATTATTATTAGACATTTTTATTTTGCTTAATAATTTTGTGCTTTACAATAGCAATAAGTGTTTTTTTATTGAATGAAAAAATTAAATTGCAAAAATTAATGAAAGGAAAGTACTGTCCAAATACTGTAAGTATTAAAAATGTAAAAAATTTCTAGCGTATTTTGAAATTAAAAAAAAAGCTATTAGCCTCTTTTTGTTGATACAATTGATACAATTTCTCTATAATTTTACTCTTTCAAATAATTATTCAAAAATAAAAAAAATAGAAGCAATTCGAGATAATTTTCATTTTCAAATCTAGCAATGAATTTTCAAGGTTTTTTCAGATTTCATTTCAAGTTTTGATATATGAAACTAACTATTGAAACGTGCGCAATTACTTATCCAAAAAAAGCTTATATGTGCTTATTTTCAGGTAATTTCAAACTTTTGGTAAATAAATTCGTTGAAAATTTGACAAAAAAATGGGCGTTGTCTTGTTTTAGATAAAAGCATCAAAGTCAAATGCATAAATAATCCGTTTGGAAGACCACAGTTGAACATATTCAATCTTGTTGCTTGAAAATGCATTCATTTTTGGCTTAAAAAACATTTCTAACTTCTAAGAAAACAATCTTTTATCCAATATTCTTGAGGGAGTGAAAATAAGCACACGTATTTCACGGAATACTTTATAAAACTTTGAAGTAAGTTAGTTTATTAAATAATGTCAGATGATTGTTGAAGATACCAAAAATTTTTGTCATTATTTCTGACTAAAATTTTCAGAAATGATAGCACTGTGAAAATCAAGTCTGAAGAAAGATATAATGGAAATTTTTTAATTATTAGTATAGCTAAGCTAATATTGCAAATTTGATTTCTATAATGAGCTTTTTTTGTTTTCGTCAAAAAGTTTTTGGTAGGCTAATTTGAGATTTATGATCTGTATTTGTTATTACAGCTGAGTGAATGATTGTTTCAAAGTTGTTTGGATGTCATTGACACGAACAAATTTTATTCATCTTGTTCGATGAAATGGGAATTACTATGAATTTTGCTTTTTACATATTTTTATAGGTGGGCACACATGAATATGTTGTATATCAGTATGCGTGAATTTTCAAATTTTTATTAAAATCTAAGTTTTACTAGTAAAGTTTTATCTCACTCTAATGAAGTCAGACTACTTTATATGATATTTATAAATACAATTATTTATTAAAAATTTTCATAGCGAAGAAGCGCCGACATGAATTGCATGATTTTATGAAGTCAACTTGAAGTAATACCAAATTACATTTATTGGAATCAAAAAATAAGTTCACTTGCACAAATGAAACTCCCGTTTATTTTTCAAATTTTTATTTAGTTTGACGAATCTGTCTATTACAAAAATCCGCTAGTTTTTTTTTTAACTTTTTACATATTTCATGATTGTTTTTTGATAACTCGAAACAGATATTTTGCTTGTTTTTTGTTAGAGCTTAACTTTTAGACAAATCACCTTTTAGATTGATGGATAAATATGCAAAATTATCCTAAAATTAAATAATTTACTTTAAATAAAAAATATTGATGTAATTTATTTTTGTTTTTCTGCAAATTCATTACCACTTTTTTTTGATCATTGGATTTTACGTAAAGCTTAAAACGATGTTTGACGTCACTTTGCTATATTAATTAGTACTAATTAATATAGTCACTTTGTAAAAGTATGAAAAATTCCAAAAAGTATTTGCCTAAAAGTAATAAATATAGATGGAATAAAAAATTGAGCATTATTTGAAATTAATGCTTTATAATTTTTCAAAGTGACGATATTTAAGTTCTTTTTAACTTTTTAACATTCAATCTTAATTTATAGCAAAATTATTGAGAGTAATTAATATATCGAAGCAACGTCAAACAGAACGTTACAAAAGGACGTTCGTTCCTCTCTGCCAGTACTGTCACACTTTACAACTTTCCATTTCGTCACGCAATTGCGTACAATTTATTGAAAGTGTAAGCCATTCTTTCAAACAATTTTCAGTTTTCGATTTCCTATCAAACGTCAATTTATAGCTCTCAAAATTACTTTTTATGACAAATTATAAAAAATGTCTAACTTTGGAATGAAAACTTTTCAAAATTATTGCATTATTTGAACAAAATCTGTAAATCTGAAATTTACATCATTTCTTGACCTTTCACCCCCAAAAGTTCAATATATTATCATTTGTACTTAATTTGAGTAAGTTTTTGCAACAAATTTAACTTCTTCCGCATAAATTGTCATTGCAAAGTTTTGTTTTTTTGCTTCAGAAAATTTTTTATCTTAAAGAATCAAATTTTTTGCAATTTATTATTTCAGTACACAGACTTATTTCCGTTTTTTGGTTAATCAAAAATGACAAACATTTCACGCCTAAAGTACACAAACGTTGTAATTTAATCATAAATAAGGAACTTCTAGCAAGAGCGAAGCAGAAGTCTTACTGATTACTTTTCAGGGCCTAAACAGCAAAAAGTTAAGTCTCGTCCAAATATAAACAAAAATAGTTTTTCCAACTTCTCTTCTAAAACTAATTTTCTTACTTGTTAAATTTATTATTGCTATACAGAAGTGAGCTTTTTGTTGTAAACAAATTTTTTTTTCAAAAAATAACAAGTTCATTTTTGGTAATAACTAACAATAATATTAACAATTGCTTTTCACGTTTATAAAAAAACCAGAATTTAGGAATGCTTTTTCAGATTTCGTATTTACAAGGTATTTAATCGATTTATTCTCCAATTTTTACTGAAAAGTTTTCATTTTACCAGTTTTTTTCTGAAATAAATACGTTGAACACAAGTAAGTGAGCTGCTTTTTGAATAATATTTTTTTTGTTAAAATAATACAAATAAATGTGAAAAAGTAAATCGATGAAAAAGAAGCATAAAAGCAGCGCCTAAAAAGTATACTAAAGTATTTTACTCAAAATTGAATAATAAAGTGTAAATTGTCAAAAGAGAGTAAAGTAGGAAATTTTGAAAATTTTAACATTTATTTTATGAAAATACTTTTTCTTCTTAATTTTACCACTTTCAAACTTCTTACATTCATAAGCAATAATGTTGAGAAACAAACGTTTGAAAGGCCAAATGTAAGTGAGTTACTGCAAAAAGTTAAATTTATAAATTATTTTACAGAGTTTATTTCCAAGAACTTTACATATGTAATAGCGCTTTACTTTATCTTTGGTCACTTTGACTGTCCAGCGCATTTCTTCTATCAAAAATTTTCTACGTGCTGATACATCAAAACTCTTGTATGCACTCACTTTTACTGAATGAATGAAATGATTTGATAGTAATATGTTGTAAAATTAATATTCTTTATCTCTATTTGCAAAATTAATTAAATTAGTTTTGCAAATAGAGATACTTATAACTATAAGTAGACATAAAAACCAATGTTAGACGTAGAAAGTAGTTTTAAAATTAAATCTTTCCAACGTGCAAGTAAAATGTTTGTCTTTAAAAGAGTTTTGATGAATGAATTACATAAAGTAACGTGATCACGTCAAAGCAGCATCTATAATACTAGTTAATACAGTGCTTTCTCTGTAATTATTGTGATTTGTATCATACAATGCTTATATAAAACAAAAGTTTCAAATGCATCAGGATTAAAGACAGAATATTAGCCATATGATAAATAAATATCAAAATATTATTTCAATGTACCCATAAAAGTGAAAAAGCATATGCCTAAAATGAAAGGTATTTATTGTTTCAGTCAGTAAACTATATATTATTTCTTTGAAGGCAAACTTTACTTAATGCTAAAAGGTTAGTTAGTTAGTTAGTTAGTTGGGAAGTTTTGCAGTAAAATGAGAATGTAAACTTTAATGGGATATTGTCGTCAATTTTTTGAAGAAGAAAATTAAATATCTTTATCAATAAAATGTGACAATTTCCGTTATTTAAATGGCACCTTAATGGGAATGAAAAGGTGTAAATTATACACACTGATTTTATTTAGTTTATTTCACTTTAACAACAAAACATTCTTCAGTTTTGATCATTTGGAATTATTCCCAATTAATAATTCGAAGTATTTCATGTAATTCTAATTTAATGAAAGGCATTTAAGTATTACCGTTAGAATAGATTTGTGTGCTAAGTTGCTTCCGTTGAGGGTTAGATTTCAATAAAAATAATGCTTTTTGAAGGTAACTTCATTGAATTCAGTTTTTTACAGGACACTCTTTGATTGGAAAGAGGTCGAGACGTTGTCTATTTTAGACAAAACTGAATAATTATGTTAAATATTTTAGAAACATTCAAAATTAAGCTGAAAACAAACAAAGCAAAAATAAATTACTAATTGACATGGAAGTTTTATTGTAAATGAATTGAAATAATAACTTATGTATAATTAAAAGATATATATTTAGTTTTTACCACCTATAAAATTAACATCTGTGGCGTGCTGAAATATATAAACATTCTTTATCACGTGATTTTGCTGGATTTTCGGTGTCATAAACAGTAAACAATAAAGTAAACTGATTATTCTGTTCTCTTATCAGATAGATGCGCGATAGTCAAAAGATTGCAAATTTCAGTTGATTTGAATTGATATCTTCTATCAACAGTGAAAGAAAGAATAACAGAAAAGGACAGAAAAGACAAAACTCACAAGGAACACGTTTTTACCTAAAAAAAATAATCTCTGCGCGAGTGGTCATCCTGTTTGTCGTCGCAGTAAAACAATTCAAAGTGTTATTTAATTCTTTTATTCTATTTTGCGATTTTAATCTTACCTAAATATTTGTAATTTTTATTCAATAAACTTTTTCTTTTCGCAATAAAAATACTAATCATTGGGATTACCGTTGTGAAGCAGTTATGCGAGTTAAATTAATACTACTTTTATTATTCATATTCTTTTGCCCGCTGCAATCTGTTTACGGGATTGGCTTCCACGGTATCCCAGGAAGATATTGTGCTGATAGATCACCAACATGTTGTCCCAATCGAGATGATGAATGTACAGTGCCAATTCTTGGTGATCATCTTTGCTATTGTGATATGTTTTGTGATCGGGGTGAATATGGTAATGATTGCTGCCCAGATTTCAAGAGTATTTGTCGATTTAGTGCTGAAAAATTGACAAAAGGTCAGCCAGCTTTTTAAATTGTATTCATATATACTCATTTATTTGTTTACTTGGCAATTTATTCATTTATTATTTACTTGTATGCTTTTAAGTAAAATTATGTCAATTAATATGAAAGTACTTTTATGGAGTTATAAGTTCAAGCATCATAAATTACATAAGTACTCTTTCATTTGAAATAAAAACTTAAAATAATTTTATATTAACTAATTTAGTTGAATATTCTTAAGTAGCCTAAAAATTAGATTATTAACTATTAAAACAATACTTTTGGGTATCACAAGCCCAAAAGTATGACAAGCCACATACAGTACGCATATATATGATAAAAGCCGAATTATTATTACATGCAAATTTTTTTTGATAAAACTGAAAACTAATTGTAAATATTCATTTATTTGATGCCTTATTTTTGCAGAAATAAACTTTTATCTCTTCAAAAAATACCTTCATTTTACGTACGTGTAAAATACTTGGAATATTATTCAGCTGTTTGAACTTTTTTTTTTCCAAAATCTTGTAAAAGAATGAAATAGTAAAACATTGCATTTGAGACGTGGATGAATATGAGATACTTTTAATTTTGTAGTATTCAGATTGCACACATAATGGAGTGCGGTATTCAGAGCAAAGTACTATCACAAAGAATTGTCGTAAATGGTTTGTTATCAATTCTTATTATTTTTTTGATATTTTCTAAAAAGGCTGAAAATTGTATGAGTTATAAAAAGATTTACTTTTTATAAAATTTAGCAATATTTTTCACAAGAATATTTTAATTATTGAGCATTGCATTACATATTATTAGCTTTTTGTTGTGTTAATATAATTTGCATTTTGTTCTAAACAATTTACACATATTTACTACTTATACTTTGGGTTAAAGTCTGGCTTAATTATACAAGTATTTTTATTAATACTTCATTCAGCTGCTTGTTGTAAACGAAATTTTTTGCTAATTTATTTTCGTTTCGTTTCGTTTTTGAATTTATTTTATTAATAAACTAAATGTGTATTATTACTAAATCCCATCAACTTTTTAAACTTTATCTGTATTTTATTTGTTAATTTATTTAAAAGAGTATATTGCAATATAATTTATTGTCTTTATTGTGCTGATGAAAATGTGATTAACTCTTTTTTGAGCAAGAAGAAAGACAATGAAGGTAGTTTTTGTTAAAGAACTTATAAGCAAACTATCGAAAACATTTTGCTCTAATCTCTTATCACTACTGATGGCAGCAAAGTGTGAAAGACTAATACTGATCTACGTGAATATTTTTCTACCTATGTCTTTTCATAGAGCAAATATTCAAAATAGAATTTACTGTTCACATTTTCACAGCAAAAAGAATTCCATTACATTTGTTTTACTCTTAAAATTAATCATTTAAAATTGCTATATAAATAGACTTTTTGACATCAAAGCATTATAAAATAATCATTTAATTTCTTTAAAAATTAAAAAGTGTTGCTATCAATCAAAAAACAACACCAAAACTATCCTTAGCTAAACAAACTTTTCATTTACTCATTTCAATACTTCAAAGTTACCTTCTGAAGAATGCTACAATTTTGTTTCATTCTTTTGCTACAAAAAAGAAAAAAAAAGGAAAAAAGAAAAATCTTAAACAAATTAAAATTAGACGAATTTTGCGCCATATAAGGTTTGTGACCTTTTACTGATCCAATCATACTGTTTGTGATTGATCAATTGTATTTCATGCATGTCAGAATTCCATCATTAAAGTGTTCAGTGAATTGTTCTATTTTGTTTTCAACTAATTATTTTGTAAGCAAATTAGTTCAAAACCGTGAATTACTTCAAAATATTTTACAATTTTTTGATGACATTTAAATTTCTGTGCAAAACATATGCTTCCATTGAAAAAGTGTTTAAAACTGTAGACAGTTTAAAATATTCCTTGCAAAAGTTCAACATTAGCAGTTAATACTTAAATTTATATTTACTGATTACTCTATACATAATTATTAATTTTACTTAAATTATTATTATATTAATTTTCAGTGTGATTACGCTTACGTTGATATTAATTGCATTATGCAAAATAATTTTGCAAATTTTTTATACTTTGTATTTTCTCATATGCAAATTAATTGTTGAATCAAAAATTACAGTATCTGCAATAAAAATCAATGGCAGTGTGATGATACGCCCTGTCTAATTGAAGAAAAGGCATTACTGAAAATTCAAAGTGGTCGTTACACGTTAGTTATTTTTGTTTTAAAAGTTTTACTTTAGAAGTGTTAAAGTACTTTAAACATTGTAAAAATGATACAGCAAAAGTAAGTAGCATGTCAAGTAAGTTAAGTTAATCAGTCACTTACTACTAATGCATTTCTTTTTATGACTAAATGATGCGATAATTTGAAAAATTATACTTTATCATTTTTAATTGTTTATAATTACATTATTAAGTGCTATACAAGTTTTTTGCTCTAAAAATTACTTTAATA